AAAGGAAAATTTTCAATTAAAATTTTGTATTGAAGTTTAGACAGTCTTCTAGTATTTCCAATACGAGCCTTCCTTGAGATTTTTGTTACTAATTCCTTAATAGTTATGTTTCTCTTGAAGGTAATGAGGATATAATGATCTGATTGAAAAATAACCCCGAATTTATCTTCCCAAATTTCTCCATCACGATAAACAACAGCTGAAATATGAGTCATTTTGAGAATTTGAGAGTTTGAAAGTTAGAGAGTTTGAGAATTTAAGAGAGTTTGAGAGTTCGGGCAATTATTTTCGTCAATTATGTTTGATAGGACGACACTAAGACATGACAGAGACTCTTTGAAAAAAGGGAAATCGCTTTCCTTTGAACGAGCCTCTTAGACAATTATGTAAATTGAGATTTTTTATATATTGGCAGTCAGGGAACTGTTCCCATAACGCTATATATTTGATGGGATGAGACACAATGGCATAGCAGATATTCTTTGGAAAAGGGGGAAAGTGTTTCCACTTCAATGAAAAATTCTGATTTTTTCAGTCAATTAATTGAGGTAAGGGTGGCAGGGGGATGGAGGTGGGTGGGACACGGTGGCAATCAGAGGCGGCTCGTGAGGGGAAAGGCGCAGTGCACCAAACGTGCCTTATGGGAGGCGCGGTGCACCCGACGTGCCTTAGGTGGGGTTTTTAATATTTGGGTGTTAGTTCGAGTAATTTTGGTCAATGAGTGTTAGATAGATAATATTTTAATATTAGGGTGATTTTTCCATAAAACACCTAATTTCACTCATATGTGGAGTGGATGGTTGATGACTTGACGTTACCAGCTAATTATTATCATTTTTTGAAAATATGAAAATTAAATTAAAATTGTCTACGTTTTATAGTTTTCATATATTTAAGTTTTATACGTTTCAGCTATTGAGGTGTAGCAGTGGTCTTCGTTCAAAATTCGTGTGCTTTTGGGATTTGGTTTAGACATTGCCCCCCACACTATTATAGTATTATGGTGGTTAACAAAATAGTGGGTGGGTCCCATTCTCGGACGTATCAAGCCTGCTGATGTTTTGGGCCCGCCATGTTCTCCTTTCAAATCTAGCGATTCCACAATAAACTACCGGGTCGAATTAGGTTCAAGATCCAACTATTTCTTTTTGGGTAAAGTACAAGTTTAACATCTGAACTATTAGTTTTGTTTCATTTTAGTACCTAGACTTTCATTGTTTTCAACATCATACCTAACATTTATTTTTTGTTTCATTATAGTACCCTACCATTAAAACTTAAAATCATAGCTAATGTGGAAATGTTTAATTATTTTTTAATTTTAAATTATTATTTAATTAATCAACACAACCTATTACCCTTAAAATCATAACCAAACGAGGACAAGTATAATAGAGAAAAGAGAAAGCCGACAAGCAGAATAGAGAAGAGAGAAATAAGATTTCCCGACGTTTGGCATCCGTGACACTCGACAATAGCTTGAGAACGATGATGGTGAAGAGTTGATGAACAAAAGGAAACAAAAATCAATAAAACAAATGTGGACTTTGGTTTCCCAACGGTTATAGTTCTGGTGGATGGACGATCAATCTGAACGGTAGACCACGACAGAACGAGAATTCTACTAATATAGTCTAGTTTCAAGCCCATCAGATGATAGACCATGAAAATCGGAAGATGAAGAAATTGAAGAGTCCATTATCGATTTAGGAGATTGAGACGTTTTCTATTGAAACGGAGGCCGAAATCACGTTAAGGGGGCTAAAAATGTATGATATGGAATGTTTGAGCTTCGTCGACTGACGGATATGACGACTGACGAATGTAGACGGGATGAGTGGTGGAGCATCTCACCAGTTTCTGAGCAAGTTTAAATAATAATTTAAACAATGATTTAAAAATTAAAAAATTAAAGATATCCACGTTAGCTATGTCGTTAAGTTTTTAACGGTTGATACTAAAATGAAATAAAAAGTAAACATTAGGTATGATTTTAAAAAAATAAAAGTTTACGTATTATAACGAAATAAAATTGATAGCTGGTAAAAATTAAAAAATTAAAGATCTCCACGTTAGTTATGTCGTTAAGTTTTTAACGATAGATACTAAAATAAAATAAAAAGTAAGCAGTAGATATGATTTAAAAAAATGAAAGTTAACGTATTAAAACGAAATAAAATTGATAGCCGGTATTCATCTCATAGTCTACCCTTTCTTTTTAAAAGAACCCTCATGTATTAATTGATAGCTCAGAGGATTCTTCGTGCACCGATGATCAGTCAGAGTTGGAATTGGGCCTTGGGTTGAGCCTTGGTAGTGGTTTTAAGATACATCACGCTTCAAAGGATGCTTAATTTGCTAGGATTTTAACTGCTAAAGATTTCCCTTCTCTGGTTCCTTCTGCTGCTTCTCCATCATCTTCTTCTTCTTCATCGTCTTCGATATGTATAGCTAATGTCGCAGCTAAGGCCTAGAGGACCGCTGATTCTATGGCTGCTGCTAATGGCTTTAGGTATGCTTAAATTCTATGGCTGCTGCTGATTCTAAGTTCTGTTAAAGATTTTGTATGAATTTGGGGTTGTTTGCAGTCTAGTTAAGATGAGTCGTCTAATGCTTCTGTTTATTTTTAATATATAAATGATTTGATCACACGGTCATGATCTTCAGTTTCCAAATTCATTACTTGGTTCCTCTTTACTTGATGATAGTATCTTTCAATCAAATGAATGGTTGTTATATCTTTCTCAGTTCATCATTCTGCTAACTAAGTAAAGCAGAAAACAGGTGATTGTCCCAATATTTATATAGTTGATCAAATTGCAGAGTTCTTGAACCAAGCCTTAAGAGCCAACCAATCCTCAGGAAATCGATGGAATAAAGTTGTTTCGGCATTAATAATGCACTGGTTTATATAGAAAACTGTACATACGGTGCCTTGTTAATGAAGCTTTATCTGAGGCATGGCACAATTCATGCCATCAAGACCAGTTTGAATCTGTACACTTGTTATTTAGTTTTGACCTTTTTGGAACTTACTGATTAGCTGAAAGCCATTTTTTATGTTAACATACCGTTTGGTTGTGATGGTTGGGTGTTAATCATGTGTTGCAGCTCTTGAACCTTTTCTTTGCTGATGTTTTCCCTCTTAACATCTCTTGTTTTTCATGAATTTGAAACAGTCAAGTTGTGGGGTGGCCTCCTGTCGGAGTTCATAGAATGAATAGCATGGCTGACCAAGCAAAAGCACCGGCCATGGAAGGATTTTACTCGACAACGAAAACCGTAAAAATGAAATATCTATAGTCGAGAAGGGTACCGTTGGAAGCTGTGGATTAGCTAAGCTCAGACAATCTCTTTTTGTGAAGGTGAATATGGATGGAATTCCAATTGGAAGGAAGGTTGATTTGAATGCCCATGAATCCTATCAAAAGTTGGCAAAAACTCTGGAAGACATGTTTCTCGAATCGACCCAAGGCATCAGTCAAGTTGGCAAAGACGAATTAACTAGTAAGTGCATATTTAAGTACGATTGCAGGGATGTCGTAAAGCTGTATGATGACCATATCTCAACTGATATTTGGAACTTTAACCAAAGTGATTATGAATTCTTAAGCCTGTCACTGCATATATAAAACCAAAATGCGGACATGAGTTGTCATGTGAAGCAAATTTTACAAGCGTCCCTTTTGTTTTTCAAGCATTGTGTCGAAATAGGAAAATATTAGACCGGAACTTTTAGCCCTCTGAATTCCACTGTAAAGAATGTCCTGGTTCAAACAACACAGAACAGAAGACTAGAATTTTCTATTAGATGATAATGGAAGCTGTTTCTCTTTTATGATTTCCGTGATTAGGATCAAGGGCGCTGGAGCATGCATGACAAACAAATTAACAAGAACTTCGGAACTGCTGGATGTATCATCCGACTTTGCGCTTACTTACGAGGACAAAGAGGGTGACTGGATGCTTGTTGGCGATGTACCTTGGGAGTATGTATCTTTTCAGTTTTCCTACTTTACATACACATAGTTCGACATGAGTATGATCTTCCAAGTATATGAAAAAATTTAGAATTTGATCATCCTTGCATCAAACATATATACCTGGATCCAACATTCATCTCAAGTCTAGGCATATGAATACTCTCTGCTTCGATACAGGATGTTCGTTAGTTCCGTGAAGAGGCTTAGAATCATGAGGACATCTGAGGCTACCGGATTGGGTATGTGGATTCATAATGTTCATTTTCTGTTCTCATAATGTTCATATCTTAAGGATTACTAAAGTTCATAATCTACAGCTCCAAGATTACAAGGAAGGAGCCAGAGACAAAAAAGCAAGCCCAACTAGAACATCATTCTCTCAAGTCGACCACACAGGATGAACAAGACATGCTGCTAGCAACATACAAAAGCAGAAAACAAATACAAAATAGTTAAAGCCATAAGTTTGAACCTTCCTGGTTCTCAGTTTCATCAATCTCAGTTTACAGGTTTTGAAAGGCGGCAATGCCTTGGTTTTTAATGTAATATATTCAGACACAAGGGTTCCACTGCCACATAGAAGTGAAATCGTAGAAGTTTTTACTACCCATGAATCATTTTTTTTCTTGTTGAGATATAGACATTTGAATCAGGAGCATAAACCCAGATCTATTATCAGTTTTCCCCATCCAAATCTTTCGGTGGGAAGCTCAAGTCCAAGTCCGTCTGTGATATGCTGGCTACTCTTATTTGTTCATGTAATTTCTAGAGTCATCCAGCTCAGACCCAGAACACGTTTTTGTTCTAAATGAAATCCAACCAAAAATGTCGATAGTTACAGGCTAACACGCTTTCTTAAGAAAATTTAAAAAAATTTAAACTGGTAAACTACATTGGTAGTCCCTGAGTTTTTAGGGCACTTATATTTTAATCATCAAACTTTTAATATTATATATATCAAATTCAAATATGTAATAAATATACTTTCCTCGTATTTATAAGGTGTTCTTGAAAACGGATCCTCAAGCAAAATCCTGATATCATTAGCTATTATTTATTGTATAAGACAGGAACATTAAACAGACAATCTCAGCTACAAATACAATAGAAACAATCAATAACAAAATTGGTAGCTCAAAAACAGAAAACTGTATAAGAGTGCAGAAATTATGCATATATATTTTGGTTTGAAACAAGACTAAGTTCTCCATATGCCTGGTGGGCAATATCTATAGTTGATGCACACGGCACTTACAAGGAACCCACTGGGAGTCTGATTCAATTCCTGCTTCATCAACTTAGATTTATGATTGATCTCTCTGCTCGTTCTTCCAAGAATTTTTGCCAGCTACAGCAGATTGATCTCTCTGCTGCTCATCCTTCGGTTTTGAGAAGAAAGGATCCCACTCATGAGCTCCAACCTCGCGCTGTCCTTCATCTAATAAGTCATACTTCCAACTGTTTTCCTCCACAAAGTTATCATATTCGGTCCGGCCTTGGATAATGTTCTTCCTCAACTTTGTAACTTTATTGATCACTGCCTGCACAGCAACATCAAAAGCATCTCGAAGAGTCTCCAATTTAGAGCGAGGATCTGCATATATCAAACTTGGGATGAGATTTATGACTGCCTCTCTCATGATCTTTACTTGCTCAGGAGAGATTTGACTAAGCCTCTCCTCAATGCTAACATTCCGTTTACGAATATCATCCTCTGGGAAGAACACTGAATATGTTGTATAATTTTTCGGAAGGTGCCAAGTGTACTGTGTGTATGCCGAGCCGGGATGGAAGAAGACAGGAATACAACCAGCCAACATTGAGTCAAAAGCAGATCGACGAGTGTATGAATCTCCTTGAGGTTGTAAGCAGAACAGAGAGCTCTGGAACATCTGCATTATACTGCTCGGTGAATGACACTTGCTCTCCCCAAAATCACATTCCAACAACTTGCAGACATTCGACTTCCTGCACTGGTCAATAATCTGCCCTCTTATTGACTTTGGGTTTCCGGGGCGAGGTGCACCTGCAAAAGAGAAGAGCCACTTTCTCTCCAATTTTCGCATCCGATCTTGCCATACAAAGACTTCCTCATCCTTGGCAGGGTGAAAGTATGTTGGATAAGGAATGCCAAAATCATTTGCATTCCAGGGGCTTGATTCAACCACCAGCATTGACATATTCCTCGCAGCAGGTAAAAACAGAAGCTTATTACCCCAATCTGATTCCTCCTCACTCAATCTCCTGAAATCCCATGTAATCCTACCAGCCACCAGGAAATGATCTTTCCCTCCCATTATACCCCACTCAGGCCTCTTCATCAGCCAATCAACCAAATCGAGGGATGCAGCATCACGCCTCGAGATATTATATCCCCAAAGATACCTTGCAATATCGAACCCTGCATAAAAGGGCACGAATATTGCGGCTGCAATGGATGAATCATTGGTCAAGCACTCATATTGCTTCATTCGATTATTGAATATCACATCCACAGCAAACTGATTCGTGGCGTACCACCCGGTATTCTCAAACACCCCTTCCACATTCTCAAGTGGTGGGCCAAGCCCTTCATTGCTAGTAAACTTACACATATTAGTCCAAAGACTCAAACTCTTACACTCCTTAAGCATATCCTCGTTGAACCTCGGAGGAAGTTTATGCACATAAATGTACCTCCCCCCGCACGGATCACTCTTGTTATCCACCGTTCTTAAAGCTCTCATAAAAGGGTAATCCACCACCCTTTCACTAGCCGTATTCTTAACGGGTTTCACCACTGGTGGTTTCTCCTTTTCTTTACGGGCATAGGTCACCCGAGCAGGGATGGATTGGAAATTAGTGAGGGGAGAATTTAATTTGATTGGCGGTGATGGATCTAAGTCTAATTTGATTGGCGGTGATGGAACTAAGTCTACTTTGATCGGTGGTGATGGAACTAAGTCCTGGACTGTGGTGCTCCCTCCTAGAACTACAAAATGGAAATACAAAAGCAAAATCCAGAAGAAAGCTGATAAAGAAGCTAAGAAACAGAGTCGGGTTTGTTGATTTTTATGGGAACCTTTCTCCATTGCTTCGAAAGGATCCAACGCCACAGGACGGCGTCTCATCAGAGTTCGATCACCAGCTGATCAACAGATCCCCCGAATATCCCAAAGGAAAAAAAACACAAAAGCCAGCTTTATCGATTGAAAAAAGGCAAAAAGATCCCAAAACCCTAAATCTCAATCCAGCGGTTACAGTAAGACCTGAGCTTGGGCCACAGATCCCAAAAGAGAAGAAGACTAGAACTTTACGCCTGAATAAACACTAAAATTCTATAAAGAAACATAAAAATTAACAAAAGGGAAAAGGGAAATGAGAATTTAGCGTAGAGGGAATTATCAGCCAGAATGACGAGGTAGCGAAATTGAGAGATTGCCGTGATATGGTTACCGATCTTTTGACTGAATTTCACCGACAAAACTAACTGCAAATGTGGAAGAGAAAATCTTGATTCTAAGGAGAAAAAAGGGCTCACTGGTGATTCTATTTTATTTTCTTTGGAAAATAATTTGACAGAGTTTTGCGGGTGGGAAATGGAGAGGAAAACTGAGACCTGGGGATTATAAAGCCGAGCCGAGCCGAGGGGCTGTCTCTGTTGTCGGTGCCGATGGGATCTGGCCACGTGGGACCATCTGATGAGGCGCTAATTTTTTTAGAATGACATAACGGGGTTTTCTAGGAAAATATTTAAGTAAATTAATTATGGCGTTAAATATAATTTAAAAACAAAACAATTACTTGATTAAAGCGGAGTAAAAATAAAATAGTTGAGTGATTTAATAATAATGGTTAAAGATATAAGTGTTGTTGAGGTGCGTGCTAGAGCGATCCGAAGCCCGAAATGGGCATGTGAGGAGGCCAACTGGCAGTCAAGATTACGGATGGGCATAAAATGGAGACAGACGGGTTTCAATCCGATTCGAATAAATAGGGTCAGTTTTTTTTTTAAAAATTTAAGTTTAGATCAGATCGAATTAAATCGTATTTTATATATAATATATTTGATGTCGGATCGGAGTTGAGTTTAAGGTCAAATTAACCCTATCTGACTCGGATACTTATAAATTTAATATACGTTTTTCTATGTTAGTTATCTGACTCTATATCACTAAAATAACTCTACCCTACCATGTGCAGACATGCATTATCACTAACTAATATTTTAATATTTCTTTTTTAGTTTATACCTTCAAGATTTTCATCCACTTTCAACACTTCAAGGACCTTATTTTCGGTTGTTTTGATTCAGATAAGAACAATATTTGAACTGTTATTAGGATTTTTATACATGTAAGAATATATGTGAAGATTTTCAATATATATATAGGCGTTTTTCCTAAAAAAATCACCGGTGATCGGTATATTTATTGATCTAACATCGATTATATTATATTTCTCGATCTAACACCCTTTGCAGTAAGGTGCCCCCTGCAGCGTGCTATACGTTGATTTGGCGTCACGTGGGATAAGGCGCTACGTGGGGTAAGGCGCGCCCCCTGCGACGCGTCTTATGCTGACATGGATACAAGTGTGTATAGCGCGCCTTACGCCACGTAGGGTATAGCGCGGGTCAGGAGCCGCTCCTGACCTTTATAATTATATATAGCGCGGGACAGGTATCGCGCCTTATATAATTGTTAAAACTTTTCTCGGCTATAAATACCCTTCTCCCCGGGTTAAGTTCCTCACATCTCCTCACATCTCTCCTCTCAACTTATAAATTAATACAACAATTCTGTCAACGAGTCAATAATTCTGACAATTTTCTCATATTTTATTCAGAAGTTCGTGCGATTTTTCATTATAAGGTAATTTTGTGATAAATTTTTTATTATATTTATTGTTTATTATGATTATTTGAAAAAATATTATACTAATTGTTGTCAATTAATTTTTGTGTTTGTAAAATTAGAAAGCGGGAATATACGTCGAAATAGTTTTGCGGTATAGGTAATAATATAAAATTATATTATTTAAATTATTTACTTTTATGTGTAAAAATTTTATTCTATTATATTTTCGTTCATATATTATTTATTTAATCAGCATTGTTTCAGTTATTTTTTTTCAGATATAATATTGCCGTACTTTTAAACTCAAAGAATGGCGCGACTTTCAGCTATTGTTTATTATGATTGTGAAATTCGAGAAGATAAAACTGGCGTTTTTTCGTATCAAATGAGCGTGTTAAAATATCATTGAAGAGAAACATAACTCTTGATGAGCTGATAACGAAGATTTCGAGGAAGATTCATGTTGGAAGTAGTAGAAGAATGTCGTCGTTGTAGTACAGATTTCCAACATCATTGTTGTCATTAACTTATACAACGTTGATGATGTTGAAATGATGGTTGAAGCTCAAAGTAATTATTCAGACGCCGATATTGAGATGTATGCAAATTTTATTCAAGTGCGTGTCGTTCGGGGTCAATCATTAAGCTCCCACTATGGGCTGGTTGAACAAGTTGATCAAGTTGACAGCCCGACGACAATAATGTGTAATGATTTTAATGCCATAATGGGGAGACATGCATCCGCAACTCCTTACGATATGTACCGAGGTGGGTCGACGAACAATCTGTATGGTAACATCGCGTCTAGTTCAAGGGGAAGGCATTCATCTGCAAATCCGTTTGACCTTAATATGGAGATGCCATCGACGCAACCATCTGTGCAGTTTCCATTTGACACGATGGCTTCAAGCTCCAGGGGGAGGCATTCGACTGCGAGCTTTTTTGCTCTGAATGTCGATATGCCTTCCAGTTCAAGGGGAAGGCGTGCAAGTAGTAGGTTCTTCGACCTAAATGTGGAGAGCATGGAGGAATCATCATCTCCACCAGAATAACAGCTTCGTGAGCCTGGTGCGGATGATGCTGAGACTAGACTATTCATTCACCCAGAATCACCGCAATTCAACTCCGATAATGATGAAGTTCCAGAAAATGTGGCACAAACTGACCCTCCTACACACATGTATGAAGCTGATTATGGTGCAATGTACGGGCTAGAATTTGCGGATATACCTCATCTTGGTGACTATGGATATTACTCATCAATAAATAATTGTGAGTTATCTTTTGGCATGAAGTTTTCAAGCAAAGAAGAATCGATGATGGCTATAAAAAATTACAATATCCGTAATTCTGTTCAATCCAGAGTCAACCGATCCACGACCGAAAAATATATATGCTACTATGCCCGACGCGAAAACGGATGCAGTTGGATGGTTCGTGTATCGAAGAGGAAAAGGAAAAACAACAAATGAGAACTAACAGTATACAACGGTCCTCACACATGTTGTGCTGGAGGGGTCAACCAAGATCATCCCAACTTGGACTCTGAAGTGATATGCCAAGTCATCATGCCCATGGTAAAAGCAAGCTCTCATATAGTTGTTGCTGTGTTGATTTCAGCTATATAATCGTAGTATGGGTACACTGTCTCCTATAAAAAAGCTTGGTTGGCAAACCAAAATGCCATTGTCAAACTTCATGGCGAATGGGATGCATCTTACAACGAACTTCCAGGCTGGTTTAGGCTGGTGCGGAGGTTGAATCCTGGGATAATTGTGGACTTCGAAACCTCCTATGCATACCATAATGATCAAGTTCTCCGCGATCGATGCCAATTCTACCGGGTTTTTTGGACTTACCTACAGTGCATTAATACTGTCAAATACTGCAAGCATGTGGTCCAGATCGACAAGACTTTCTTGTATGGAAAATACAAGCAAGTTTTATTATTAGCTGTTGTCCAAGATGGCAATCGCAACATTCTTCCAGTTGCTTTTGCTCTTGTCGAAGGAGAAGATACAGATTCTTGGTCTTTTTTTCCTCTGAAATTTACGTGCACGTGTTATCACGAGGGAAAACATATGTGTTATTTCAGATCGTGAAGTTGGGATCAAAGCAGCAATGGAGTCTTTGGGTCCAATGCGGCAACCACCCTTTGCCCAACATAGGTATTATCTCCGACACATTGCTGCAAACTACCATGGAAGGTACAAGAAGAATGATGAGCGTCAATTAATTGTGTGCATGGGTAAGTGAAACTGATGTAATTTTGTTTTCTTTTGATTGTTTTAATTTTGCAAAGAAAGCAAGTTAGTAAGTTATACATTTTTTGATCAGGTTACGAACTACTTCCTCGAATGTTTGAATCAATGCTTCAAGATTTGCGGGTGAAGAACGAGGAAGGATATGATTACATCAGCCTCATCGATAAAGAAATGTGGACGAACGCATATAATGGTGGATATAGATATGGACATATGACGACCAACTTGACAGAGGCAATCAATTCAACTTTAAAGGGTGCACGTCACTTACTAATAGCGGCTTTGGTAAAGACTATATATTTTTGTTTGGGGGCGCTTTTTGCGAAGCTCGGGGGACAAGCTCAAACCTGAATGCAAGGCGGTCATGTCTATCACCCTAAATTAGTTGTACATCTACAGAAAAAAATTTCTGCATCAAATGGGATGTCTGTAACAAGCTTCTCTAGAAGGCATGAAATGTTTCGTGTCACAGAGTTGCCGCGACCTCTTCAAGGGATTGAAGATGTATCGTTAAGAGTAAATCTAAGGGACAGAATGTGCGACTCCGGGTTTTTTCAAGCTCTTAAGTATTCATGCTCTCATGTGATAGCAGTTTGCTCGCATACACGTCAAGACTATAACCATTTTGTGGATCCCGTATACCTACTATCTGAATTTTTTAAGGTATACGAATTTGAGTTTCCCCTATAGGTAATGACAAAGACCCTGATGAGGTTTAAGATTGGATTCCGATTGTACCAAATCGGAGTTTATTGAGGGAGCGTGGTCATCCAAAATCCAATCGAATTCATTGCGATATGGATATTCGAGAAAGATATAAACAAGACAGAAGATGTGGGCATTATAGAAACCTAGGACACACTAGAAAAACATGTCCACTTCTATTGCCATCAAATAACAATTGATGAGGAAATGATGTATTTGTTTATCAAATAATAATTCTTGTACTTTAATTTGCATTTACTTCAAGTTAATGTCATTTGATAATCGCTGATGAAGATTAAAAAACGATACAATAATACGAGATTGGACGTTTGCATTATATGTGATTATAATAAAAGAGATAATAAGTGACAAACTTAAGAAAGTTATCAAACAATTTGATATTTCAAAATAATTTTAAATACAACAAACTTACAATAAGTATTAAATGGTAAATGATAATCAAATTACAATAACTGATATTAAATGGTAATAAATAAAATTAACTGAAATACATTAAAAAAGTCAAACAAATTT